CAGCGCCATGTATCACGCCGCGACAAGTCAAAACACATTGAGTGCCAGCCGAGCTACATCAGCGCGATCATCACTTGCGCCCCAACAATGGGCTCTGTGTTTGTGAGCGGTCCTCGGTCAAGGACTCAGGGTGGTCACCTCCAACATTCGCATTAGACGTTGGCATGATGCATTAGGTCGGCCGTTCCTTGTCGATTTCAGCAGCAGCGGAGCGCGGCATGACTGTGAGACCGCACTCAACGAAGCTACCGCAGTCATGGGATATCGAGTCTGATCAACTCGGCGTACCTGCACAGTGATGGCTGTGATATATTAATATAATAGTTATTTCCAGCTGTGCATGGTGCATACTACTTGTTGCTTCCAAGAGTGCTTGCAGTACTTGCCAGCCAGTGTTTGCATAGGCTTGAACTTACAGTTCGCCGAGGGCCTCCACATGCGCACATGCACGGTTGCCACAAGCTGAGCTGTTTATGTGAACAGCCATCCAACATTGCAACGATACATACAGCACCTTTGCAAAACTAAATCCGACCAAGAGTGCGCTCAACTTGTCCAGAGTGTGTCTTTGTGTGCGTATGCTTGTGCGTGTGCCAATGTGGTTTTTGCTGTTTCATAGAGTCCCGGCGTTGTGTTAGAAGGCAAGAAGCTCGTGTGCTCGAAGTGTTCAGGAACTTGTTGCGGCAACAGCGGGTACGTTCCGCTCGGCGTTGATCTGTCTGATCCAGAAAAGAGATCCAGACTTGGACAAGGACGGGATGATACAGGATGCAAGTGGGGATCACCGGTTCAGCGAGTGCGTGCCGACGCCAACAGGCAGTTTGCGCTCTTGCAAGTGCTCGTGGCGATGCATGTTCCATACGTGCTGTCGCCACGGTCCTGCCCACAGCCCCAAATTACAGCGTTGTTTTCGATCTGCGGCAAATGCATGATCTAGGCTTTGGCCGCGCCGCCCTCTGATGCGCGCCACACAAGGCCATGGACAGCTGGGCAAACTTTGCACAATCGGCATGGATCGCTCTGCCCTGGAAGCTTTCTTGTGTTGGTTTCCGTGCAGGAAGGTCAGCCAGGCGCTGCTCAAAATGGCTGGCAAAGGAGATGTTGTTGCAATCGAGGTCCGGTGCTAGGGCGCTGTGCACCGAACCTTAATCGACGAAATAAAGCTCCGTTACTGCTTCGCCTATTCAGGCTGTGAGTGACTGCTTGAAGCACGAGTCCAGCGTGGTGCGGGAGCATGCCGTCATTACGCTCAAAGAATTGTCCAGGCTGGCCGAAGACAGCAGGATGGCCAGCCTGCATCGGCATTATTAAACAGTACTTGTCTGCTGGACTTTAGAAAAGGTGAGCAACGTAGATTTAGGATTCTGTTGCAGTGGTGGATGGGAGACGCGGTTCTGTTTTGCTTTCTCCACCTGGCAGTCCCGGAGATGCGGCAGTGCTTCCGAAACTGGTGGCGGCTTTGGCGGACGAAGGGCTGAGGGTCCGCATGGCTGCTGCAGATGCTCTGTCCAAGATTGCGTCTTGGTCAAATTCGCAAAGCGATGGCACGTTAACGGTACACTGGTTTTGAGATTGTTTTGGGAACAAGTAGAATAGCAGATTAATGTCTTCTGCATGGCTGCTGAGAAAGGAAAGAAGGGAGGATAGGAAAGAAAGGAAGGAAGGAGGATAAGGAGGGATGAGGGAAGCAACCAAAAGACTGAGGAATGGACGACAGGATGCAAAAACTTGTGCTAGCCTTTTCAAGAGCAGTCTGGGGATTCTATTTCACTGTTGCGGTTACTTTGAAACGAGAGCCACCCGCCCCTGCCAGATAAATTGAGATCGAAGATGCAGCTGCGCTCCCGCGTTTCAGAAGCCACAACTAGCCACAACCCCTCAGAAAACCAGGTGCGCACACACACACACACACCAGGAAATCAGAGCATTGAAAGAGCAACCACCCCTGTTAAGCCACATTGGCAAGGCACACTGCAGTTGAAGTCGCAGTAGCAGTAGTGGGTCTGGTGGGTGATGGGTCGTTGGTCTGTTGGCGGCGGGTGGTGGGTGGTGGGTGGTGGTGGGTGGCAGCAGCGTCGTAGCAGTACTAGTACTAGTAGTACTAGTAGCAGCAGGTGCAGTATCGTTTAGAGTCGTGGTGCTGCTGGTGCCGGTGGTAGTGAAACTTTATGAAACTCTGGTTCTATTGTGGTGGTGGTTGAAGATGCATGACGGAAGTAGATTTCTGAATGCTTTCGTTTTTTCAAGTTGATCACATGGAATGCTGTGAAGATTGCAATTATGGTGAGTAGTGGTCTTATTGTGAACTGAGTCGTAGCGTGAATCCTCTTTGTATGATATTTGTTACCAAAGCTGGTTAAGTTCTAGGCCTAGAAGATCATGTCGAAGTATTGAAATCCTCCTAAGTGCTCCAGTCGCGTTTGGGGTCGTCCGGTTCTCCAGCCCCGCACAAGACGGGCAAACATCTGCAACAAGTCATTTCATTCGGAAGGCTTTTGATATATTCCAAGTTCGTGACACAAGCCGCCCAGGCAGAGAGGGGTGATCCTCTTTGGACGGCACTGATCGTGGATTACTTGGGCCATCAGTCACTCGATGTCCGCGAGGCTTCTCCATACATCGCTCTTGTTGAACGTCGCAAGCATCTGTCTTTTGTCTCGGTGATGCAATCTTCCACTTCGCTGAAATTCTTGACCCTTGGATCTTGTCCCGGAGCTTTACAGGCGGCACTTATCGCCCTGCATCGACTTGCAGCTCCAGGCAGCATGTTGCTAAGGGCCTTGCTATCGTGTGGATGCTTTGCAGCATTTCGCAGGCTGTGCAGACATTGTTGCGTCGATCTCCTTGCGGATGGAAGATGCCGACATTGGAGGGAGAAAGGCCCTTTTGATGGCACTGCAACAGCTACATGTCTGCAGCGATGTAGCCTGGGTGTCGTAGCGGTAGCCGCAGCGCTGTACTTGACACCGAGGCTAGCTCCTCCAGGACCGCTGTTTTTTGTGTAAATGATGCAACTGATACAGCCATGCTCTTTGCTAGGAAGCCAGCCTGCCATCCTCGAGGCTGCCAGGCGAATCGTGCTGGTGCTGACAGATTCACTTGTATCTCTTCTCACTTTGACGCCAGGCGCCTGACTGACTCCAGCATAGAGGTTCGCAAGATGGCCTTGCGAGTGTACCCCTGTTGAACAGCGCGACAGAAGATGAAGAGACCTGCTTTTTCTGGAAAAGCCAAGGCTTGGAGCACTGGCAGAAGACTTGCCACCCAACCTTGAGCGAGTGCTTGAGAGCAGCCTCCAGGCCGGCGCATGCCGGCGCACAGAGGCGTTTTCTTGAGACTCTGCCGCGTTTCAGATCGAAGGACTCCCACGCATCGGTGCGCAAGACGGCTGTGTCGGCTCTGGAGAAGTTGGCCGCGAAGAACCCCTGGCTTCGAAGATCCTTGGAACAAAGGAAGAACTTCAACAAGAAGAGCGAAACGATTGATCAACAAAGCAAATCTCTGCAGTTGTTGGAAAGATGACTGCAATACTTCCAAGAACTGATGCAAGCCCGAATATCTTAATGAATGCTTATGACCCTCGCTGCTGCTGAGGTCTGCTACTGTCGCGTCTCGAAGACCCTGCACCCTGCGTGCAGTGTGCAGCGATTCTTGCGGCGGGCAGAATCTGTGACCTCGATGATGAGGCACAACCTACTTCGAAAGTTCTGACTGAACTCTGCTACCTGTGGAAATGCAGGCCTCGGCAAACACGCTAGCAGCGTGCTTGGACTCGAATGAGAAGATGTGCGAGGCTCGTTTGGGTTTTGTGCACTCCTGACATCCCTCGCAAATTGAAGTTGGGGCCGTGCTGCTGCATTGTATGTCATGTGTCCAAGCAAGGGGTTGTTGGTTCATGTGCAGGCGGCCGCGCAGCAGTCCCTTGGATGGCTCTTGCAGCGCGGATCGCGAGCGCCGCTGCCAGTGTTGGCACGGCTGCTTTGGCATGGAAATGAGAAGGCCTGCTTACACAGCGAGTGTGCCGTTGCTCCGAAATGTTGTTCATATCTTTCCACAGAGGGGTGCTGGACTTGGCGCACATGCCCAATCGACCTGACACCTCCCATTCCGAAGGCGTAAACGAAGTATCCAGGTCACAACTCGTATAACTCGCGCTACTTCGGAAACCAGCAAGCATCTGAGCTGCAGTCCCAGATCTCAGCAGGTCCGAGAGTCAGCGAACCTCGTGCTTTCGCGACTGCCTCCTCAGTGGCAATGGTTGAGGAGAGTGCAGCTCGGTGGGTGGGTGGGGGAGGCAGCGCAAGAGCCAACTTGAGCCAACTTCTCTTTGCCTCGTGAGGGAGAAGTGGAGCCCAGCAACGCCTCCAAGCCGACCCTTGCGGTTCCCCCTCAAGGTGTGGGCCGCATGAAGGGATGGTTCCACCAGTTCCAAGATCTCTGACTCGTTTTTGGATCATGAGGCCCCGTTGTTCTGCTGACCGGCAAACCGTGGGCTTGGCACGTTGCTGTTTCACTTCTTTGGCTTGTGCCCGTTGCATTTAGAGCCGGCATGACTGGCATGCTTGTGAATTAGCAACCCAGCAACTGCAGACATGCAGCTGCATTAACTCCGTTCAAGCTGTCCGTGCAACACATGTACAGAATGTGAGGGCTGTGGAATTGACGGAGACAGGCTGCTCGCTCCTGGTAGTGGTAGAATATGGCAGAATGATGGAACCGGGTAGAACAGCCTGCATCCTACACTCTGTTTGTCGCACCCACACGGGAGCCCAACAGTGGTTTCCAGCGATCTGCGACGGAAACTCTTGCCTCCTTCTGCCGTCTGCGGCCTCGGCTCTACTTCGCGGTGCGCGTTCATCCAAGGTATCATGGAAAGCCGAGACTCCGAGCTCATGGCAGGCTCCAATGGCTCCAGCAGCGTTTATCGGTAGGACAGAAAGAGGATCGATCTCAGAGGCAATGGCGATGGGGAAATGGGGAAACGAGCGAAGTGTCAGGCGATGACTGCACGTGCTGAGGCAGAAGGCGCTCTTGGCATCTTCATGAGCCCCCTTTAAAGGGGGGGCCAATCATCCCTTGAGCACGTCTGCTCAGGCCGTGCTCAGGCCGCTGCCGAGATTGTAGGGGCCTTGGTGGGGCCCAGGCTGCTCCTAAGCCGCACCCAAATGGTAGAAGCAAGGCCATGCTGCGTCTCAATTCTGGACTTCGATCTCCAAGACGCCAGGCCTTGGGAGTGTTGTCGACTTGATGCCTTTTGCTGCTGCGGGCCGTGCCTTCAGGTTGTCAGTGACAACTCTCCGAGACGTGCATCGCCTCGTGCCGCTGCATCTCAGCTGTGGACTAGCCCAGTAGACACCAGAGAAGCTGAGATGCGGAGCACTGAGGCAACACCCTTGGACACCGGAGGGTTGAGCTCACTCTCGACGTCTGCAGGCTCCCAGGTCGGTTCCTTTTTGCTTAAGACATTGACATTGAGAGTGGTCAGGATCGGCGCTGTCATCGCCTTTGAGACGACCTGGGACAGCGCGGCAGAAAAAGTAGTTAATTATGTAGTTGGCAGTTGACAATCTCCGTCTGCGAGAAGCTTTACCAGATCCAGGAGTCTGGTGAGGGCCTCAAGCCCGACAGCTTCACGACGTTCCAAGGAGCGCATTCATGCGCCATCGGCCATTGTAGGCTCACACCGAAAACCAATCGTATTGCAAAATTTTCTTGTCGGCTTGAGTTTGAGTGTTTCTTTATTCTGTATTGGCGTAAATGGGCTTCATCCCCTTTTCGAGGAGTGCAAACGTACCTCGTCGCCTAGAGCTGGACCGACAGCTACGAGGTCGGACAAAAAGCCTTTGTCACGTGCAGCACAGAGTCCGATCCAATGAGCCTCTTCTCAGGGAGAGAGTCGACTGGTCACCATGCAAGTGGCCACCCTCTGCACGCAGCTTGGCGAGCAAATCTGTGTGTGCATGCCCAGGCATGCCCGGATCAGGTGTGTTCTCAACTTGTGGGGGGCTGCGACGTGATGCGACGTGCTTCTGCGTCCGGTCAATTTCAAAATCGCTGGTGGGCCTTTGCCTGAGGTTGGCCGTCCACACAGCTGCCACAGAACGTAAATCTATGGCCGGTTGCTGGAGATGAGAAGCCCAGAGGAGTGTTGTCTGGTGACTAACAGCTAGCGCAGATTTTCAGGGACCTTGCAGGTCTGCATGCGCCATTTGCTTGTTGCTGGTAAGCTGCCCTGTCAGGACTGGACACATGGACCCACCTCCTCTTCAGCACGGGCTTACGCTGCTCACCGTCCGAAATACCATACAAATGTCCCAGATGCTCCAGCATCAACACCGCAGACTCTGCTTTTTGCCGCAAATGCGGTACACGGCGGCAAGAGGACTGGCACGTGAAAGATCGCCCCAACTCGCCCGGCCATCAGCGCTCTCGCGCTGCCCCTTGCTCGCGAAGCATCTCGCCACGGGCTGCATGTGTGGCTTCTCGTGCTGGCAAACGTGCTTCCACGAGGAGCCAAGTCTGCTGGGTTCTTTCTAAGTTGTGTTGCCATTTTTCGAGCACTGATGCGCTGCTTTTGCAGGCTTTTGTCTCATAGTGTCTCAGCATGCCAGCACCTCGAGCACACGGGCCGGAAAGGGTTTTCCTCAGTCGAGCTAGGTGCTACGAACGCGCGGCGCGTTGGAAGGGTGTTTCTGAGGGTCGAAATTGAATCCTCCCCCCTCTCGTCCCCCCAGCTTGTTGAGGGCTTGGCACTGTTCGCAGGATTGTAGCAGCTTCGGATAAGTCGTGGTGTTACAACGGCCCTGGTGCGGGTACCGGAAGCCTCCGAGGGGAGACTAGCGGAGAACGGGTGCCCATGTGTGGTCTGCGAGACCGGCATATTGATGTGTGCGTGATGAGTGCTGTGCGGTCCCAGGATCGGCTGCAGACAGATGCTCATGATGTACGCTGGTTGGTTCACGGCTGATGCTTATGATGCGTGTTGACGTCTAACTGTCTGCAAAAGGGCTATTTCTGCATGATGAGTGCTGCTCGTGGTTTGTGCTGAAAATGCTGGCCGCGGGCCCCTGCATGGCGTTGCGCTTGTGTGAAGCTCCATAGATGAAGCACCTACTTGTGAAATCTGTCTTTCCAATATCCACTACAAGCTCGTAACGCGAAGCCATCAATTGCCCACCAATCGTCGAAAAGCAAAGTTGGGTATTTCACAATTTCTGAAATCTGAAGCCTGGATGCTGTATCGAAACCAATATTCATTAAACGGTCTCGTGGGTTATTGACCATTACAGATAACGCGCCGTTGAGTACTTGAACCGTGGCTAAAGCTCCGCTCAAGCTCTCTGTCTTTGCAACTGGGTTTTACTTCTTTTTTTCCGTAATTAGAAGTTCCTCCAGGAGGTGCTTCGCCCGGTTCTGAGGATGATCCCCGTATGCGAACGAAGCCTCAAGTTATTGCTCGTCCACCCGTCGCAGCAAAAGGTCTGCCGTGAGTGCTCCGCTTGCTTCCTCTTGGTTTTGGTATGGTCGAGCTCGAATAGGCAGAACTTGCCTCGTGTCAGCGGAACACATGGGTTCATGTCAATCTTGTCTGCGCCGTTTGTGCTTGTGTCTGCGATCTTCTTGATTGCCGTGCCTTCCCGCGCATCCATTTCTTGGAATCTTGTCAGTATATGTCCGAGCTTCATGTCCGAGCATCTCTGTTTCTTCCTGTTTCTCTCTCTGACAAGCTACAACTTCGCATTGCGCGTGAATCGAAGACGAAGATTTTACTTTCTAGACCCTTTGCCAAGTTGTGCATGAAGCGAAATGATGCTTCCGATTTTCTGATCCGGCAAATTCGTTTTTCGCCTTTCTTGCCCTCCCGAGCTACGAGAACGCGACATCACCACGTCATGTCTAGTCGAATGCTAGGACATCTACACCAGATCGCACAGCCAAAGATTGCTCTGTGAGAGAAAAACATCAAGGTTGGAGGACCTGTCAGGGATCTGTTTTAGAGTCAAAGGATCACTGCAGGAATCAATAGAAAATGGACATTGATGATGTCCGCGAGAGGAAGGACACGTTCCCGGTTGCTCCGCAATGCGGCCGCACACCCGCTCAACAGCCTATTGGGCTGGGGCTCCCCCCAAATTTAATCTGGGGTCCCCACACATGACGATAAGTCAGTGATCGCTAGAGAGTCCCAAGTGAAAGAAATACTGATGTGCTACTCTAGTATGCGAGTTGCTGCACACTGCTTGCTGCAACGAACGCGAACCTGCCGTGAGGAGCACATCCTTTCGCCAGCGCGGCGTTCGGGCGACGGTCTCCCAACCGCAAAGCCCACGGTTGCACTCCGATAGGAGCGGCAACAGTCACGAGAGACAAGTCAGACTGCGCAGCAACTCCCAACGGGCGATCAGGCCCGGGCCCACACGGTCTTCATCACCGCGTCGGAAGGAACCGTCGCGGCCACACAGCTGTTGCCTCCATGGCCGCCAGCAGCTTCAACCGCCGCTTGAACGGGCGACAAAAGCGCAAGCAACACAGCTTCGGCGGTCGGCCTCGGTGCCGAGAGCTGCAGCCCGTCCGAAGCTGACACCTGCGGACCTGGTGCGACTGCAACGCGAACTCCAGGCTCAGATGGAAGCTTGGTTGAACACATGCCTTGCCAAACTTGTTATTGTTTCCTGTTGTAGTGAGCGTAATGCTTGTAATTCCAGACAAGTTCTAGCAAGTGATGCCCGTCAGGAGATGGTCAGCAAGGCCTTGGCCACCGGACCGCCCGGACCACGTGCTCGTCCAACGAAGCTGAGCGGACGCCAGCTGAAGGAGCAGGCGGCCGAAACACCAAATTTCCGCTTCTGATCCGCGAGGAACTGAGCGGCACTCTGTTTTCAAGGCGGCTGTGTGCTGCTTCTCATGTTCGAAGACCGGGGGTCTTAAGTTCAAACATGGGGTTCTTCATCCAGGCAGTCTGGATTATTTGTGCTACAAACCTCAAACAGGCCATGAGCCGGGTATTGTCTCAGGCCCTCAGCATCAACACCTCAAGCCCTCGTCAAGTCATGTCAAAATCTTCATCGTGTTCGAACGCACGCACAAGCTGAAAGTTGGTTGTGCATGCGTTCCAGCATGTTGCTTGTTATATGTGAACTCAGACGCCGGTGTGGGGCAGTCTTGATGTCGCCGCTACGTGTCCGACGAAGCTTCGAAGTCCGCTTTGGGTCAGTTGCGTTGCTACGGCTGTGATGGGCAAGAGCTGCAAAAGCAGCTTTCTTGCTTCCATGCATCAGAAGGCCAGCGCATGCCGTGCAAAGAAATACGTGCAGAAGCGATGTAATTCACGTATACAGTGACGTATGCAATAGAAACAGGCCTGACAGCATGACAAGCCGGGGTGGCTGATCCATGTGCGACCGAGAAAGCGTTTGATGGCCGTCTCGGCCAAAGTACTGCCATCCCGTTCCTCAATCTTGGGCTTGGAGGCCTGATGCTTCAGGGCGAGGCTCCGAAACACAAAGCTGGCCCCGGCTGACCAGGAGGGCTGGGAGGTGCAGGCTTTGATGGCGATGATTGCGTCATCGCCCCGAGGGCGGTGAGTGTCGCCTAGACCGTCATAAGAATGAACCTGACTTAGCCGAGTGTTGTTTGCCTCCATCGATTCTTCAGTTTGAGGCCCTGTGCCGCCTGGCCTGGGCACAGCTCCCAGTTCAGGGCTTTGACGTCGAGCTTTGCAGTTTGCACCTCGGTACTCCGGCAGCGGTCTAACAGCTCTTGGCTTCAGGTCCGGCACGTCGCAAGCTGTGCAAGCCATGCCACAGGCAATGCCAAAGGCAATGCTGCAGTCGCTGCCTGAAGGACGATCAAGCAAGGCTGTGAACTTCGTTACACCAGACCTGAGACCTTTGTTCGGATCGTACTTCCCTTAGATCCTCTCCAGTACAGCCAAAGGGGCTGAACAACTAAATGTTGCACATCGGCAAAGGCATTTGAGTCGCTGAGAGACGATATCGGCCATGCACAGTTTAGTTGCCTGCTAGCTTCGGACAACACCCCCGCAGAATTACTTGCAAAAAGCAGTCATGTTCAGCGTAAAACCCAGCGTCAACAATATCTTTCCAAACCCGGTTGGCCAAAACCCAACAAAAGTTTCCCATGAGGCCAGCCGCACACGGGATGCCAGTCCACACCTTGGCCATTGCAGCAACGCCGCGAGGTTATGGAATTACCAGACTTTGATCGTGCTGACAGGTGAGTCAAGTGCGTGCCCCCTGTGCCGCACCGGGGCCGCCTATGTTCCAGCCTTGCATGATGACTGCTTCAGATCGAAGATCATGGGCAAAGCGAGGTCCTTAACCGGGACTTGGCAAAACGTTGCTGCAGCCGGCACGATGCCGGCGGTGCAGGCAAGGCAGGTCTTGCCACAGCAAGCAAGAAACTGAGCACCATCGTCGCCGTGCGATGATGAACGGCGTAGAATCGTCGCTTAGGTGCCTTATGCGAGTGGCATGGGCGGACAGTTGCCCCCTGGAATGTTGCAGTCTTAGTTTAGCGCGTCAAGCATCTGCGCAAGCTCCAGGTGTGCGTTTTGTCAGGTGGCCGCAAAACCCTTCAGCAGCTGCGCCTCTCGAAAGCAGGTTTTGCGAACATGAGCGCATGCAGAGACACGGCATGAGACAGAGGCCGGTCAGACTTTTGGCTGGCACACCCTCCTTGTTAGTTGCGGAAATGTAGCAGTGAAGCTGAGTTGGATATCGGTTGGGCCAGGGGCATCTCCTGACATTGTCTTCAATCCTGGGGACAAGGCGCAGACGAAGACTGCTGTTTGGAGATGCTTGCACGGCTGGATCCCTGCAAAACAGGTGCAGTTGAGAGGACACGCTGCGAATCCCGACTACGAGGGCAAGATCTACACCGTGGAGGATGCTTGGGGTGGGCTCGCTAGGCTCCGCTGCAGACCAATCCTTGGTGGATTTGATGTTTGCGTGCCAGGGGCAGGACGAACTCGGAGCGGTGCAGGCTCACATCCCAGTTGTCGAGCCTCACCAAGAAAAGCCTTTTTTGCAGCAACCATGCTTCACCCGTAATTGTATTCTGACTTCAACAGGAAGCGGCACAATGACACACGTGCAGGAAATGCGCAGTCCTAGATCTTAAGCATTGCTTGGGACGGCGCTTTGCACTAGGCAAGCCTACAAGCTTTTGGGCAATATAGAGTGGCCAAGCATGGCTCATCGCTCGTAGAAGTTGTTGCCAAGTGAAAGATCCTGTTGCAAAGTGCCGAAGTATGACGGCACACTGGAAGTCCCTGGGCTAGAGTTGGCCCGCACAAGCTTGAGAAGGTCACGCACAAGGTCATGGAGAATGCTGTGTCGAGGACTGCATATCCCTGGTGGTGCAAACGGATGCAAACGACTCGCAAACGGCTAGAAGCAAACTGCGCTCTGAGGATGTGCTTCAACGCAGCTCACCTGGAGCTGGTCACCGCAGTGGGTGACCTGCCACCCGAGGCGCTCTTTCCGCCTTTTTGCCTTTCTGCGATGTGTTTTCTTGTGAAGGAGCCAGAGATTGCTCCTGAGAATCAGGCGCACTTAGCGCTTGTTTGCTTGGGCACGCACAAATTGCAGAGCTCCGGCGCCAGGATGCTCCGTGCTCGGGACTAAAGGTTGGTGACACCGCACGGGGCTTGGCACGGGGCTTCCTCGTCACCATAGCATATCATAGCATGTTGCAGGTGCAGATCTCTGGGCTTGGCCATCATGATGGTCGGTTTCACACTCGGCTTGGCGCTGCACATGCCATTTCAAGAGCTGCTCTTGAAGCGGTGGCAGGTTGTGTACGGTGGTCTCAGCAGACGACAGGCAGGGATGAACGAGCACCACAGCTTACCAAGAGACGTGATGGGAACTGCGATTATCGCTGTCAGTGCTCTTGATGCACTGGACGAAGTCCAGAGCAGCCGACTGTTTGCCACAACTTGACAACGGCTGCGTCGCATCTGTGAGGCAGCCGATTATGCGGGTGAAGTTCGTGGACTGCCAGGACATGCTCGAGCTTGCTCCGTCGTCCAGAGCTGAGTTTTGCGTTGCTGGCATCCCTGTAAGATACGGGCCCTCCGCTGTCGTCCAAGGTACCTCACGCTCATAGAGCCTGCGAAGGCTGAATGAACAATCTCGTCACAACAGTATGCTGTTTGTGCTAAGGGTCTGGAGTAAATGAATCTGCGTGTGGCATTGAGGCTTCGTCCGTGGATGCTTCTGTGGAGAGGGTGGGCATCAAGGCTAGGCGGTTCACGAACGCTATGTTGAGATTCAAGTTGAGATTAGATGCATCCTGGGTTCCAAGCTCCGTGGACTGGAGCCGACATGCAGGGCGAGGGTGGCATAAAGGTCGGGGACCAGGCTCGCTCTCTGTGCGCTCTAAGCGGGGGATGTTTATAGGCCGACGGGGCCCGACGGCCCGACTAGGTGTTTCGGCATGTTGTTGGCATTGAGCTTCGGCACGAGACTATCCTGGAGGTGATCATTCTGGCACCGCCACACCACAAAGGAAAGGCGGGGTTGTGGCGCTTAAATCCTGAATAAACACTGTCTTTCGGCGCTGTCTTTGTTTCGACCTACTTACAACTGCATCCCCGTAGCAGCTCTCCCCCATCGGACTGGCTCATCCAAATCTGCGTCGCAAAGTTCAGTAAACTTCAGTGTGTCAGCAAACGAGGCGTGTATCACACCCGGCAGCGCCGCCAACGCACCACCGCCGCTGCCACCAGCACCACCACCACCACCACCACCACCACCACCACCACCACCACCACCACCACCACAGAGCAGAATCTAGAGGAAAGGGCTACGCTGTACTGGCTGTGAATCGTCACCCCCAGAAAAAACTCCGTTCGGGCTGTGCGGCGTTTATCAAGATGTACTCTACACCGATTGCAACCTGCAGAGTCTCGGAACCGGGTTCAGCCGCACTTTTCGCCTGAAGATTCGAAGTCTTAACCTTTACATTGCCAGCCTTCCAGCCCTTCTTGCCTACGTGGTTTGTTGTGCCCGATAAGTGTGCATTTGAACAGCAGCTCGACTCTTAAGCTTGCCCTGTTTCAAGTCAGGTTGGTGTGGTCGAGGTTCCCGACCTGGGCGACGGATCGCTGCGAGTGCGAATGCAGGACCTCTTGGGAAGCACATTTCGCCCAGCACATTTCGTACCGCTTGCTTCGGTTGGCTGCGTCAAGCACACAACTTGCTGTGCAGGGTCTTCGCGGTTGTTTCTTAGCTTCTGCACAGGATCCTTCAGATTCCGCCGCCCGGCGAGAATGGAATGAATTCTGCTTCTTGCGAGCGGTCGGAAGAGTTGTTGGTCCTCTTGTTCGGGGGCAGTTGAGGCTTGCATCTAGCCACCCTGACGCAGGTCACCGTGCTGGTGTTAAGCCCGACGCATGTCCAGAATCCGGTCCTGCCCTGTGCCTTGTGCTGTTGTGCAAAAGCAAATGCCACCAAGTGGATTTGTTTCTTGGGCAGGACGGCACAGCCGTAGCGGGAACTGCCGATGCGGTGGCCTCGCGGCAAGCACAAGCAGATGCGATCCGGCAGGCGGGAGCGGACGAGGTGGTGCCAAGTCCCCCCTCCCCTCCGCTCCCTCCCCCCCCTTCGGGCTTAGGGTTTGGGGCTCCGGGTTTCAGGTTTTGAATCCAGGGTTCGGGTTAGGGTTTTAGGGTTTATGCACGCATAGACTGCCTCTGTGTCTCGCTGCATGGATGTACATCTCTATCTACCTACCGATCCATCCCTCCCTCCCTCCCTCCCTCCCTCCATCCATCCGTCCATTTGTCTTTCCATTCACTGATCTACCTGTCTATCTATCTATCTA